GTGTCAACAAGGGATCCTGTGCTGTTGTAGGCAGCCAATAAGCTGCTTTGGGGCAACATTGTGATGAATATTCATTGGGCTCTGCCAGTGCTGTACGCAGAGTGTAAGAAAAAAAACATCTTCATAAAGGTCTTTGCAATTGGTTTCTGGTACATATGTGTGTATCTCTCCTGTGTGTAATAGTTGGTATGTATTGTAACAGTTTGCAAGCAATACTGTGTGTTAGCATGGCTCTGTGAAACTGACTGGCTAATTGATCCAATTTTACTGCAAATTTGGACAACAAAATCCGAGAAATCTCTCCTATGCTTAACTACCAAGAAGTAGTACTTAAACTATCAGGTAGTGTTTTTCACCAGCTTTCCTTATCTGCAGGTATGTTTGGAATTGGAAGGAAGCATCTTGGTTAAATGTCTTTATAAAATTTGTAGAAAACACACAGAATTCTAAAAAAGGATCCACTGAATGATTAGCACAATGTGTCAGCCAAGTACATTAGAGAAGTTAGACCAATAAGGGAACTTCTGTGACAAAACTTTTAACCAATGGGACATCTTCTTAATGGGAGGCATGGCTTGATGGATTTAGGGAATGTAATTTAATGTCAGTTTTGTCACAGCCTTTATAGGGTAAAGATTTAATAGACAATGCAACTTTCAAACTTTTGTTTACCCGCCTCCTCCCCATCTCCACCTTGTGTTAAGTAACATGTTATTGTGTGAAGGAAATTTTGGCATTGACATGATTCTGATATTTGTATCTCAGCTGGAAATTTTTCACATTTTTCTTGGAAGTTATTCTTGACGGTTGATCAGCCGCATCCAATAAATTTTCATGTTGAATATCTACTCTAGTTAAATCTTCTATGTCAATGTCATATTCAATTATTAACCCAATTTCATATGAATCGGAATCCAGTTTAGATTTGGCATTAGAGGGTAAATTGTCTTGTGCCAGCCATTGATAAGCACCATGTGATCCATTCAATCTAAATCGATGCAGTTAATGCAGCAAACATAGTTGATGCAGCCAACACATTCTATACAATTGAAACACGCTTTGCAACTGTCTAAGATGCTTGAGTCATTGCAATAGTAAGAATTATAAGAATCAAAAGAATCATAGTAAGAATCTTAACAATAAATACAATTTGTACATTCACCACAAATATTCACCACACCCAAGTCGGACGCTGGGTACATTTCCTGCAGTTGTGACATTTGTGACAATCATGACATTCATTACAGTCGATACATTCGAACAAACCATCAGAATTTAAACAGTGTATACAACCGACTGCATCTACCAAGTTATTAGATTCAACCGTGTCTTTGCAAAAGAAACAGTTGACGTTGGTTTTTTGGTTTGTCATATCTGTTTCCATTTAACGAAATGTAATATTTTTTAAAATTTTAATCGCTAATCAAATCACTGGAAATATATATTTGCTTTGGTTTAGAAACTTTATTTCCGTTTTTGGTTTGTCTCACCAAGCAAATGTGATGCCTTTGTCTCTGTAAATCCAGTTTCCCTTAAATCACGTTTCGTTTCATTTCGTTTAGTTTCATAACTGTTTACAGTTAACCACGCCGCGTGAGTCGTGACTAATTTGGCGTATTCAAATTAAGTGGCAAAAGTTAGATCCGTTTTACTTCTAGAGAAATCTTGGGGAAATTTTCAGAATTTTGGTTGGGGGGAAATCTGGCCCCTTTTGCGATCTAATCCCCAGGGTTGGGCGGAATCCCGAGGGTTGAGAAGAGTCCTGGGGAGTTCGGGAGTTGGTCTGGAGGGTGGGAAAGTCCTGGTTGAGGGGGGGAGAAATTCTGTGGGTTGAGAAGAGTTCCGGGGAAATGGGAGAAATCCTGGGGTTGAGAAGAGCCCCGGGGAAATGGGAATTTGTCCGAAGGGTGGGAATTGGGCCAGTTGAGGGGGGTCGGGTAGGTATAGGAGGATAAAGCTGGTCTTGAACTCTTCTACGCCTACTACTCCGCCTGCTTGCTCATAAGTTTCTAGAGTCTGGCTATAGCTGCATTGCCTTTTTTGGCTTTGACAGGTCCGAGTTACTCAAACTCGTCATCTTGGTTGGCGCGTGTGGCGGCAACATCATTGCTCTTGCAGTGGTTGAGGCATCGGTGCATGTTACATGAGTGTTGATTGTGACAACTGCCATGCTTATATGTGTGTGTGGATTAGTATTGGTGCAAGCTGCCCAGTTTGACCAGGTGTTTCTGCTTGAGTTTGTGGGTTGTTTCCTGACAGTCTCTGTGGACTTTGATTTTCCTGCTGTGTCCATGATTATCATGGAGTGAAAACGGGCAAACAAAGGTTCTCATGAGCCGAAGATTACTTCAATAATCGTGGATAAAAGTAGTAAAAATTGTTTTGTTGTTACCACAGAAAATGCGCCGTGGTGTTATGACTGCACATACAAGTGGCTGGAATCTCAAGGAATCTCTCATGAGATTTCAAAATAAAATGAGATATTGTCATCCTTTTCTTGTCCATGGTGAACTGGATGCTGCTGTGAAGCCCACTGAGGCTGTCTTGCCCATGCTGATGACAACAGTGTTGTTGACATACCAGAGCCAAATCTTGGGTCTGTGGTCTGCTGCAGTGTTGTAGTCGAGACCACTTAATACTTTCACAAAACCATACAAGACCAATACACGACCTCCAGTCTAAATTCAAATAACAAGCTATTAAAATAAACTGCAACAAAAGTATTCATTTGTTATTGTTCACACTGTTACTTGTGACTGGTCTTGTGCATGGTCTTGTGTCTGGTCTTGTGATGGTGTCGACTACAACACTGGTCTGCTGTGGCAATGACATTCTGTTCAAATTCTGCCATGAATATGTTGGCCAGAATTGGGGACATAGGAGATCCCATGGAGGTTCCAGCCATTTGTTCATAGAATTTCCCCCATCAGCTGAAGCTTGATGAGTTGATGTAGGTGAGGAGCAGGTTGTGAAGTTGGTCTGGAGTGAGATTGGTGCAGTCCTTGAGGGTTGGGCCTGCTTGAAGCCTGTCCTTGGCAATGGTGGTGGAGTCGGTGGGTGGGGCATTGGTGGAAAGGGACATAACATATAAGCTGATGACCTAATGGTTTCTAGCTGAAGAGTGAGGCCTTGGATGATACTGGTTGCTTGGAGATCTTGATGTGGTGTTTGGTGTTACCCACCAGTGGGTGCAGAATCTTGGTAAGATATTTGGCTATGTTGTCAGTTGGACCACCTCTTGATGTGACAATGGGGTGGCATACTTGTTGATGGATCTTGAGTTTGCTGAAGAACATTGGGGACTTGGAGGGCCGGAGCTGTCTGTACAGGGGATGGGAGATTTTGCTGAACATTGGAGGGAGAGAAGCTTGTGTTGCAGCTTCATCTCAGTGGATGGCTTGGGGTCTTTCTGGAGTGAATGGTAGCAGCTGGAGTTGAGAACATCTGATACCTTGTGATCATACTCAGACTTGTCCATGACCACCGTGGTGTTGCCCTTGTCTGCTTGCAGGATGTGAATGGACTTGTCTTGCCGTAGTGGTGCAATGGCTGACTGGTCTTGTTTTAAAAGGTTGGGCTTGGTTGACTTGTGTTTCAGGAGGGCTTTGCAGGGATTTGCAGGACGTGTTGAGATGGTGGAGGGCCGGCTCAATGCACTGGATGACCTCTTTAGTCACTAGAAAATGAGGTGAGCTGCTGGATTTTGTTGTAATCAGCAATCGAGGTGCTTGATTGGAGCTGCTCTTAGGTAGTGGAAATCTACCTGTGTAATGATGAAGGGATGGATCTGGTGGTACTGATGCAGTGACGGAGAAGAGTGAGACTTGCTTTGTGAAGGATGGAGCTGGACTTCAGAGCCCATGACAGGAAAGGAGAAGTCAACAAGTAAGTCATCATCAAGCACTCCCACACCCAAGCCAAGTCAAGCTCATCACCAGCATCTGAGAAGCCATCAAAATCCTCAGACTTGACACAGTACAACCTGACATCATTTTCAACACCAGTAACATCTGGCATCCTCACACCCCAGTCCAATCAGTCTCCTATACCTTAGAATATGTTCCAGCCTATGGGTCTCCTGTATCCTTGGCAACCTTCCCCCATGCTCCCCTTCTTCACACTGACACACCTCATTGATCTGCTAGCATCCAGTGTTCTGTTCAGGTACTTTTGATTGGATTCCGAGTTAGCATCCTCTTCACACCTCACCGCCCCCAGACACAATATTAGTGGCTTCAAAGCGCAACTTTTGCAGTCTCCTAATGACGGACAGAGCATACTGTCCGAAATGTTGAGTACCGGAGGGGTTCTTTGCAGAACCACATATACTCCTAAAACAGATATCCTTGCATGGTGCTCCACAAATCTGTATAACTAACTCGCTACCTTCACCATGAAAAGCTTAACAAAACTATGGAGGCTTTACATAATAGCTGTCTTAAAGGGCAGTATTTTGGTTCCAGTGACTCTGAGCGAAGCCCGTGGAACAAAAACTTATGGCATGCAAACCGCAGCAATGCAAACCTTCTATAAGCCTCAAAGTCCCCAAGACCCAAATCCACAGGCAGTGGAATGAGTTTCAAAGTGGGAGAGGGGAATCAGTTATGAGGTCATCAGGCATTACTTGGCCAATCCATTAAGCCCCACCCCATTATAGGACCTGCAAAAGTGCTTGGGGGCAGTTGCCCCTCCTTCCACACACAAACTGCCCAGTTGAAAAAGTGGGGGGGGGGCACTGGACCCCTGCTTCTTCAGCCAGTGCCCAAATCACCTCACAAAAGAAACAAAAAAGGAAATTTATGCAAAGAAAATCTAAACCAAAGCTAAACCCCAAAGAACGAGCATGGAACCCTGTCAAACTCAGTCCAAACACAGCTCAGCTGCATCCAATCGAACAACACCAGAAACATTAAAAAGCATACCTGAGTAGCAGCAGCTGAAAATGTGCATTCTGTATACACAGACTGACAATATCAATTAAGTGTAAATAATACAGATACCTGCATGCTGAGACCAGTCAGATGTAACTTCTCTGTCACTGTACTCATGTAGTACTCATAAAATTCTGGAAAAGATTTCTTCATCACCTCTCTAAATATTTAAATACAAATAAAAACACCTTATTGAAAACATCACATTGTGTCTTTTTTCTTCAAAAGTTACAAAACGATGTTCCACATCCTTGCACTCTCACCATCCATTTCCATGCTTGTGCACTGTCAGTGCCAAAATTGGTTGCAAAGAAGTAGGCAACACATGTACTGCACACGTATCCATAGATCAAACCTGGAGACCTACTGTTACATGTTCATTAGTGCACAGGGAATGTACTTAGCTCCAGCTCTATACACAAATATATTTGATGTCATGGGCATTAGGGATCGTGTACCATGCATTACCAGTAAACAGTTTAACCAGCTCCCAGTGTACATGTACTTCTGAAAAAGTGGCATTTGTGAAAGTGCAATTTCGTGCTGTACAACTCAAGGTGCCCAACGATGACACTAACTTCCACTGCAGTAATCATAAGTTTGCAAGATTTTTTTTTTCAAAGGCACTGCATGTTGCATTGCTCAGTGTAATACAGGCAAAATCACTCAACCCTTTGTAAATAAGGATGTTCGGGTGATACTGGGAATTACATGTATATGAAGAAGGCAGGATCTACAAGTAATATATTCAAATGGGTATTTACCCGAGTGTTTTTGGCATCACTGGATTTTCCCTTTCTAACATGTCGCAAACAGCTACTCTTATGGTTTCATGACGAATGCAGTCATTGTAACGCTCACAGTCACCTGGCTGTCGTTCCTATAACAGTAAATACATGTATGTATAAATGCAATCTAAAATTTCTAAATTAAAAATATACTACTTACATGTACATGTATTTTGTGTGGATTTGTATTGTCAGAAAGCAATTTTATTTTCAAAAGTGACTCAAAAACATCAGAGCCAGAGTGGGGAGGACGGACGGGAAAGGACTGTTTAGGTCTACAGGTATTCTCTAATAGACCTGACCCACACTTAATGTCGGGAAAGAATTCTGGTTATGTAAATAATGTATTCTTGTAATTGTAATGATGTGTGATTTTAATGGATTTTATTCAACCTGTGGGGAAAGAGTCTATGGCACTCTACCTACCCAAACTGTCCTTACATATGCAGAGTAGCACCGGTCTACATGTAGGTGGGGGGGTTGGCGACGACACATCTAATGCCAAGAATACACTTTTACATATAAACAAGGAGGAATGTATAAATTTAAGAAATGGTAAAGGAACTTCATAACGATTTGTCCTCCATCCTTCAAGAGGTCCCTTTGACCTCTGGCTGCGGACGGTAGGATTGTCCTGCCATTTGCGATGTCACTCTGCAGGACATCCCTCAAGTTGTAGAAGAAGGCGACTTCCAACATGCAGTTTTGCAAATGTTTTCAATGGAAACATCTCGAAAGTAAGACCAAGATGCAGATCCTGCTCTTATGCCGTGAACCCTGATGTAGTAATGACTATGTTCATCAGAGCTTAATGGCCAGACTGGATTAGTAAATCTAATGGCCGAATCCGTCCAGCAGGCAATAGTGTACTGACATCGTTGGACGATGTGGTCTCATGAAAGTGACAAGCGATGGGGTTGATATCGTCCCTTGCATGCTATCCTTTTAGTCAGGTACCACTTCAGGACATGAACAGGCCCCAAAAGTTTATCCGCATCATCTCAAGGATGTAAGGAGGCAAAGAGTGTAAAGATATCAGACGGATTGGGTGAGGGAGTCTGATCTGCGTCAGGAAGCCGATCGAAGGAATGAGGTGAACACCATGCGGCTCCCAACATAGACAGCCTTTGGGGAGAGCCTATAGTTTGCTGCCACCTAAGGACGTAACCATTCTCAGGACTAAGGCCAACTTGACATGGGTGTATGTAAGGCAGGCATTATTTAGGGTTCAAAGGATGGACCAGAAAACATACAGAGAACCTAGCGTAGGTCCTATGACCAGACCAATTTCCCAACAAGGGAACCCTGGATAAGCATATCATACAAAAAATGATGGAATGTCATGTTGTTAAGGGCAGTCAACCGATTTTGAAACCAATGTGTATGGCAGCTAGGGCTGACCTGTAGATATGAGTTGTAGATACAGTTGAACCTTGTTAATAAGAGCAGTGTTGATACAAGATTCTGTTATACTACTTGCAGGAACGTTAGCTGGAGCCAAAACCTGACTATCGATGCACATAACACAATGTTAAACTCTGCTGCCACAAATTTGAAAGGCGGGCAGATGACGTTGCATGCGGCCATGGCTGTAGCATTGCTAGAAAGTCCCCCAAAGAGGAAGATCGTGGGAAGTTGATCATTCAAGGAACTGAAGAGATCGATGTAATCATCATAATTCTATCATCCAAGGCAGAGTGCGTCCGCCACTATGTCATCGGATACTGCCATGTGGATCGTCTACAGGTCAACTGCATGATCCCTTGTCCTTTCCAATAATGTGGCTTTGGTTGGCAGTGTGAAAAAAAAAGAGGCAAGAAAGCCGCAAGATATACTCAAAGACAGAGATGACAGTATCATTCAGAGTCTCTTGCATGACTGTAGTGAGGTCTGGGCAGAAAGGAGAACTCTTCCTTCCCATCAAAGGAATTTACCTTGATAAGAGGGGAAGAAATAAAATAGGTCAGAGACCGAGACAAAGACTTCATGTAACCTAGATAAAGTTGGTGTCAGTCTTTATCGAGCAAGGAGCTCCTAGCAAAAAGGCTTGCTTAGTCAAATGCAAAAAGTTGTCTTTAGCAGCATTGTATAACACCTGAATATGCAGAAGGTTGTCGAAGACGTTCATGTCAAATTGAAGGTAAGCCGTGCTCCGTACCCAGTGTGGTCGCCGGTGTGCCGACAGCAACAGAAAACTTTGATCACTTTCATGCATTCGCGAAAAATAAATGGCTGGCGTTGAGGAGTCAGGTTGCACGACACTGCGATATGAATAACAGAATGAGCGTCCATGGCAACTCACTCCGTGAAGAATACATGTTAACCTTGACTGGGCGAAATTGCTAGTAATTTCCGCTCAAGGAAAATCTCTGCGGGCAAAAGACAAAACAAAACCATTTCGATGTCCGAAGTCGTGCTAAGCATGTGTATTCATTTCAGAAACAAATGGATTCTGACAAAATTCTCTCTCTTCATTTCAATCACGCTGAGAGACAATATCAGAAGAGAAAGCCTGCAAACATATCACAACAAAATATGTTGTTGTTTTGTTTT